AGATCTGCTTCCTATCTATTTCGGGAAACCATCAAGTGTTTTGTGGGACACACTCAAGCTTATATATTTTCTCAACCACATGTGTGGACGAGAACCTAAATTCGGGTATTTTGTTAGTAGTCTTATTGTACATTTTTAAGACGCTGGTAGGAAAAGGTCAGCTAAAATATCGCTTTCGCTCTCAGGGCTAGTTTGCCACAACTTGAAGGCGCTGTATTTGCGCAACCAAGCGCACATAATATCAGAACTTATTCCTTTCGCGTCTCGGACAATAACTTTGAGTACGATTCACTCGGACGTAAATTCCGATATTTCAAGAATAACCTCAAAATGTCTCTGCCATAGGAATCTATGGTAAAAGCGTTATAAAACTGCAAAAGTAGCAACTACCAACTAAAATACAACCATCATTTTATTGAAGTTGCTCAATATAGTTTTCCGAACGTGGGTGTGATCCAAGGGGACGTACACGAGAACACGTTCTATGTATCAGCATAGGGCAAACCTCTGAAACTTCGTACCCGGGTGCGTCCCCCATTGTTTATTTTTTATTTAATTCTAATTTCACACACAATCTTTCATTATCTCGAGATTAAAAAAATCAAAGATTTTTTTTTTCTAATTGAACGAGTCGTGTTTCACTTTTATATGATGAATTTGTTTGCGCGTATCTGTTGACCGACTTATTTAGTTGATTATTAGCGAATTGCTGTGTTATGTCTGGCACCGTTTAGGCCATTTGAGGTTCTGGACGGAACTTGACTCAGTGATTTGGAACTAATTTCGAGATAACCGTCGCTATTCGGACTACTATTTCTGACAGTTAGTATTCGTAGTTATTAATGTAGTGAACGATTAATCAAAAGATATGACGTGTTCAGTACTTATTGTGATTGGCTGTATGATTGAAGGTTACGCCCTAGAGTCTTTTTACTGCTTTGTAATTGGTTAAGGTTTTGAAAATGAATAAAGTTGTTTTAGTTGGTCTTGGCGAGTACACCAGGACAGACGCAGTCTTGGAGAGTCCTGGAGAGTCTTGGGGCGAGTCTTGACGCAGTCTTGGGCGAGTCTTGGGTCAGCCTTGCGATAGTCTTGGGGACTTTTCCCCAGGGCGCTGTGTCTTATAGAGTGCTCGACTGACCGACTAAGACGAGAGTTGAAACGTATTTCGTTGTGTGTGTCTTATTTGACTGTAAGGCTTAAGCGACTTTCCCGATCATGTACCTCAAGGGAACGAGATATAGAGATGAGACGAGATTCCCCCCTGACACGTGTGGAGAACCTCAGAGAAGAAAGAATTTCCCTCTGGTATTTACGACATAGAGTTATATGCCCAACTCCGTGATCCACGTACAATGATATCAAGTTTATAACAAGTTTATATTCGTACTCCAATTTGTTTTACACATACATGTACAACATGGAATAGCAATGAACAATCCATTCGCAAAATAAAAAAAAATGTTTAACGAGACTGTATTTAGCAACCGTAATAGTTATCTATCATTACAGAATTATAAACTGGTGTTCAACGACATTGTCGATTATGTAAGTCCGTGGCATGGGGCAATAGCCAATATTATTCCATCGAGTAACGACGACGACGATGTATGGGGAGTTATACATGAATTCGATAAACAGACCGCTGAACGACTGACGAAGTGAGTATAATTTCCAACAATCATTGTAGATAGATAGGGCGGGATACAAAATGCCAGGACCTGCAATGACTGGGCGGGACTTAGCAGATATAGGACAGGGGTGTATATGATAACGATTAATAGTTTAAGTTGTGCATTATATGTCATCTGCCATGTGAGTGATGCCTAATTGTTACCTATATAGCTTGTGTGTGCATGTGTAAACATAAGGGACATTTACGACTATGTTATTATATGTCTAGTCGGTTTTGAAAACCCGCTGATAAGCTAACAATCAGTAATGACTAGTATTTAACAAACGCAGAGGTTAAAGCGGGGGAGTCATCACCTTCACATGCGTCAGACGGTATCAGGACAATCGCCCCTCGGACAATCGCCCTCGTGGGACAAATGCCCCCCACACAATTATTATTTTTTATTTTTTGTAGTGATTTTGACTAGTATCGGTCGTCGGCAAACACTTGTTTACGTGAATGTATAATAAGTTGATAACGAGGTGTCGTCGGCAAACACTTGTTTACGTGAATTTATAATAAGTTGATGAATTAATAAGTTGACAACGAGGTGTCGTCGGCAAACACTTGTTTACGTGAATTTATAATAAGTTGATTAATTAATAAGTTGACCGACAACGAGGTGTCGTCGGCAAACACTTGTTTATATGTGAATTTATAATAAGTTAATAACGAGGTGTCGTCGGCAAACACTTGTTTACGTGAATTTATAATAAGTTGATGAATTAATAAGTTGACAACGAGGTGTCGTCGGCAAACACTTGTTTACGTGAATTTATAATAAGTTGATGAATTAATAAGTTGATAACGAGGTGTTGTCGGCAAACACTTGTTTATACGTAAATTTATAATAAGTTGATAACGAGGTGTCGTCGGCAAACACTTGTTTACGTGAATTTTTAATAAGTTGATGAATTAATAAGTTGATAACGAGGTGTCGTCGGCAAACACTTGTTTATACGTGAATTTATAATAAGTTGATAACGAGGTGTCGTCGGCAAACACTTGTTAACATGAATTTATAATAAGTTGATGAATTAATAAGTTGACAACTTGAGGTGTCGTCGGCAAACACTTGTTTACGTGAATTTATAATAAGTTGATGAATTGATAAGTTGATAACGAGGTGTCATCGGCAAACACTTGTTTACGTGAATTTATATTAAGTTGACAACGCCATATGGTCCAATTGTTACAATAACTTTAGCTGTGAATATTTGCAGAACGCTGGCGTAATTACATTTTTTATACTTTGGAAACTGCGTTCCGCCGATCCATTGTTTTATGAAAATACGTGATTAAGATGTCATGAATTACGGCCTAATGTTACAATAATTATAGCTGTGATGCACATTTTACAGAACACAGTGTCTTATCAGCGTCGGTAAGAAAACAATTGTTGATAACATGACACTTTGAAACATTTGATTGCCACCTATATTTAGTATTTCACTAGTCAGTAAATAGAACTTTCCAGTATTGCTGATTCATTATTAGACTATTTTATCCATTGTCTGACGAGGTGATGTAACGTATTAAATTGTACCATCCCCTATATCGCCGTCAGATTATAGTAATCTGATAAAAACCAGCATTTTTTAATTAACCTGGTAAACATATTTTGTTGTTCACTCTAGACTCATTTTGTATGATAAGATTCTAGAATAATAGCGTGCTCATGTGGACTATGAACTTAAGTCGATATTCTGAATGATTATAGTTTACATATGAATATTTCTGCTTACAACTCTTCCAAGGAGGTTTTGGATTATAGCATGGCCCTTTTGTTGAGTACAACAGAGAGGGAACAGTCAAATCGGCTTTACGAGGAAAACTTAAAAACTATGTGTAAACTAATGTTTTGAGGGCTGCTGACATGGCTGAGTCAAAGAAAGTAACTAAATGAACCAAAATACATGGTTGGTTGCTCTATTGTCATTAGCTGTTTATTCTATTGTTCAAAACGCACACGTTTCATATGGATAAAAAAAGAGTTGTAAGCAGAAATTGTCATAAGTAATCCTCCCTTATAAAATTTCAGGAACCTGACTGGGAGCAATGGAATTTACCAACTTATTCGAGTGACTGTAAAGTACCCTGACAACCGGACTGTGGATTGCAGTAGCTTTGAATTACGAAACCCCTTACCTGGCGAAAGGCGTCCGTCTCCTCAATATCTGAGTATGGTCGTGGCGGGCGCTATGCAGAAAGGGCTTCCAGAAGAATACACTAATAAGTTAAAACGCGTGGTACATAATTCGCACGAAGGACCGATTAGTTTAGACGACAAAGCTATCGGAGAATTGACTTATTAAATCGCAAAACTAATTTTAATGTTTATTGGTGTCAATATCTATCATTCTATGTTATTGTTTTAAAAAATTATTATTGTTTAAAAAGTAAAAACCGCTGCCTATTTTTGCCTCGGCGAGCTAGAATGAACAGATTGAATACGAAGTATACCGAAATAAAACCAAGCTATGTTATTAGCATAAGAAGTGGAAGCCAATAAGGACTTGGTCAGATAAGAAGTGAATATTTAATTAAGTTTTATAGTTTTATTAACCATATCACATATTTGTTTTTTTTCTTTGCTGTTTTTAATTGTGTGTATTTTGTATTGACTTGGAACAAAGTTGTGTTTGTGTTTGTTGCAGGAATAAAAGATATAAATATAAAAATAAATTCAACCGTAAACATTAACATTCGAACATTATATTTCTTACATGCGATTCGTGATTGCATGTGTTGTTTCAAACATAAATATATTGTTAGTCATTTGGTTTGAGATATGAAATACTTATCTATTTGAAAATTAGCCGATCACTGTTGTGCAATATATCTTGCAAATGTTTGTTCATATTCAGTTCCCTCACTTTATCGATGCATTAAATTACAATATCATGCAATACATATATGCAATTGTACGTCGATTATAATACTGTTCCAAAGTTACAATTTTCTCTATATTAAATAGACAGTGATTTAAAAATAAAACGTGGTCGTTTGTAAAGTTACTGTTCGTGGAATTTTGTTGGTTCTTTTCATTTTCAACCTTTTTTGTCAGCAGAACAAAACGAATCCATCAATATTACGATGTGGGAGTTCAACCTAGAGATTCTGATGTCCTGTCATATTAGAACATATAACCCGCACTTTCATTTCAAATACGTGAATTTGTTTTATGAACATTTATAAGTATTGGTAAAATGTTTACCCCGAAAGATCTTTTCATTGGATATATGAACAATTTCGTAATAAGCAGAAGAGGTTAATAGTTATCTTTACTTTATATATACTTTATACATAATTCACGCTTTCATGAAACTCGGTGTACGCATATAGGCGCAAATAGCACATTCACAATACAGAGACAGTATTATTATTTTTCAGTCCACGTTGATATGTCGTTCTCAGTCATCAGCCGACTCCTTATTTCGGTACAGCTACGGGTACACCGTTGTCGACAGTAAACCAGAGACGTATTCTTTCAACGGCACTTACTGTGCAGGTAAGCATGGCTACTGTCGTTTCACAGGACTGGCTCTATGCCTGTTACAGAGTGTGCGTTGAAAGGCGAAAACAAGCCTCGCTGCTCTCTCGCGTTCAACGTGATACTGACGGGAATTTTGCGCTGACATTGTGTCAGGTTATTTTCGATTCCAGTTCACACTTCCAGGTTTTAAAGATAACCACGAGATTAACAACACGAGATGAGATGAGATTTCACTACCATTGGCTTTCCATATCACGATTTTTCACACATAATGTTTTCCATTTCGTTCAGAATGATTTTGTCACGCTTTTTCGGCGATATTATCTTTACGACTAAATAACTTACCCCCGATCAATTTTGCAATCATCGCACAAACAAGTTATTGGAGCGTCCGTACAGATATCACCGTCCATACGACATCGTCAGTAATTAGTGGCAGACATGCTTTCGCTTTGTCAACTGAAGAAAAATAACTCACATATACATTTCCTGACGTTGTTGCTTTATTGAAGTCTTTGATGAAACGTACTACATAACAAATTCAAATCTACCTAAACGATATAGAGTAGAAGAATGCTCACGTCGCCAACGTCCATAACGAGTATCAGGTATCAGTACGTTTGAAAAGCATATATGATCATTCTTGCTGCAGTTAAGGAGGTCTGGCCACCCTAGAAACGGCATCGAATTTAGAATAGTAGTCGGTGCAATCTGTGACAATATATATATTTATTAACGGTATGTACGTGTGCTCCTAGGTATGGTGAAATGGTACTGCATACCCCCGATACGTTACTAATTACAGATTACAGTTACTGATTTGGGAATTACCGGGTTTAATATCAAAAGTACTGTTTCCTAAGTTGCGCCCTCTCGCGGCAAAGCGCTTCTGTGACAGTAAATGTGTGACATGAATGACATCATATCATTCAAGTTTTGAATAATATTTTGAGGACTATTTGTTATATTCCCACTAGTGACGAACGACTAAAAAATAAGCTGTCTACTTTAACCACACTACATATATCAACGTCATTCAGGCGTCACTTGAGCGCTTCGTCGCTTGAGGGCGCAATTCATAGCACAAAGGTATCGTCTCTCCCGTTGAAAACAATAACAAAATAAACTCCTGTCAAGTCAACAATCTGATTTTCTTTGTAACCTTCGTGACAGCGGTAATCTATTTCCCTTATTGTTGAATGGTCACTGAAGAAAGAAAATATTGGGTTTTTTCTTCAAATTAGATTGTGATATACCATAAATTAAGTGATTGAGTAAAACAATATAGGCACACTCTTTTAATTATCAGTACGTACCATAAATTGCTTTGCGCATGCGCATTTGTTTGACTAATGTTTATTTCATCAAACAACCCATATTGTACGTGTGATAACAAATAGTACGTATAATTTACGATGAATCACAATCTTGTGTAAGGAAATGAATTGCCCATGAATAGTGTTTCATATTGTAAATATTTAATTTTTACATAAAGTTATGCATATTCAATTAAAAAAAGATTTTTTTGCAGATTGTATACGTAATCCTATTCGGTTATATTTGTCCTAACGAAAATTCACATAACCCGGCGTAAAATCCACCCTATAGTGTAGACTCTCTTGCTTTGTTCATGGAGGTCTTTTACCTTCATGCTTTGTTCTACAAATACGACTAGTAAATGTAACCGGAGCCATCTTCGTCCTCGATAGTGTCGTCAAACAATTCATCTAAACAAAGAAATATTTAAAATATTCAATAACAGTAACAGTAATTGCGTAACAAATTAATAGA